CTAGGAGCCAGGAAGCTTCCCCTCCAGCCTCACTGACTGGACTGGATCATCATCCCACCTGTGACACAATCACCTGGCGAGGAGAAGCCGCCACTGTGATGAGCACAGAACAACCCCACCCAGGCTTCAGGGTCCATAGTTTGGACTAGTCTCTCGAAAACAGTGCTACACCGAGAAACTTAAATCCGTAAACAACTGAAGGGTTCTTTCAGGAAGTGGAATGGGAAAGGGATGTTGGGTTGGCTTCTGACAGTGGCCGCCATAATCTGTATCCTAATCGTCTCATTGAAGATACTGCCATTACTAATGAGAAATTTCGACTCTGAGGCCACACTGCCATAATTATCAAGATAAACCAGATCTGTTAAGATGTCCATCCCTCAGCCAGGTAGGTGGTGGTGGCACATGCCTTTAATCCCAGCACTCAGGAGGCAGAGGCAGGCGGATCTCTGTGAGTTCGAGGCCAACCTGGGCTACAGAGTGAGTTCCATGAAAGGCGCAAAGCTACACAGAGAAACCCTGTCTCGGGAAAAAGAAAAAAAAAGAAAAAAAAAAAAGATGTCCATCCCTCACCAACAACTGCGATGAACAAATGTGCCGATAGGTCCTGAACAGGCAGCTCAGGCAGACCTCAAACAGGAGCCACTCGCCACTCCCCTGCCCAAGGGCACTTCACTCCAGATCTATTATCAACTTCGGTTTGAGACATGGCTCGGCTCAGTGTATAAGAGCCCATGCAGAGGACCTGGGCTCAGTTCCCAGCACCCTAATCAGGGGGCTCACAACTACCTGGAAGTCCAATTCTGGGGGGCACTACCTCTTTCTTCTGGCCTCCAGGGGCACCCACACATGCACGTACACATAAACCCACAAAGGCACACAGACATCCATCTAAATCTTGAAAAATGAACCTGAAATTCATTAACGGCATCAACTAACTCATGGATGGACTGTTTCAAAGAAAGTCATTGAGCCTTTCTCAGGCTGTCACTGGTGTGTAACAGTGAGTTCAGGAAGAGATCTCTCTCTCTCTCTCTCTCTCTCTCCCTCCCCCCCCCCCCCCCCCCCCCCCCCCCCCCCCCCCCCCCGTCCCTCCACCCCTCTCCTCATACAGCCAACACTGGCTTCGAACTCTTGCCGCTCCAGCCTTCACCTCCCGAGTGCTACCATTACACACGCGCATCCCTGCACCCAACTGAAGAACAGTTTCCTTAAGCACACTTGCTTAGCTATTTCCTCCACTCAGGTTGGTGGCAGGCAAACCTTGTAACCACCGAAGCCATCTTGTGGGCCCTAAGTAGGTCAGGGACAATTTCCTTAACTACTTGCTGGTAGCAGGCCCCCTGTGTCCTCCAAACCCACGCTGCACTTTCCAGGACTTTTCACAGTCCTCTAAGGATGCCTTAGGTGTAGGAGTCCGGATTTGTTTCCTTTCTCATTCTTTAAAAATGCAATCGTATTTTTAGTTCTCTACATGTGTGTTTATCCTCTGTGGAGGTGGGCATATGTCATGTCACAGCAGAGTGTAGGCTAAAGAACATTCTATGGGAAATGTCTCTCTTTCCACCATGTGAATCCTGGGACTTGAACTCCGGTCACCAGGGTTAGCAACAAGTGTGCCTCCCTGGTGAGCCATTTTGCCCGGCCTTCGTTTAAGTTTTGTATTACATTTGTTTGGTTGTTTGGGGGGGGGGGTGGCATGTGTACCACACTGTGCAAGTCAGTTCTCTCCTTCATCAAGTGGATTCTTTTCTTTTTGGTTTTTTCAAGACAGGGCTTCTGTATGTAGCTCTGCCTGTTCCAGAACTCACTCTGTAGACCAGGCTGGCCTCAAACTCAGATTATTAGGATCCAACTCAGGGCCTCAGGGAGTGCTTCTACCCACTGAGTTATGTCATCAACCCTCACTAGTTTATTTTAAAAGGAGACGAAGTTATTGTTTCAACAAGAAAAAAACATCATACATGTGGTTTTTTTTTCCTCTTTCATCTAAAGTTATAACAATGCCAGCAAAATGTCTCAAAAAAGGCCAGCAAGATGTCTCAGTGGGTAAAGAAATATTCATGCAAAGCCTGGTGGCCTGAGTTCAACACCTGGAACCCATGTAAAAGGAAAAGGAGAGAGTCAGCTCGACACAGTTGCCCTCTGACCTGGGTACGCATGCAGTGGCACACCCATCCTCACACATCATACATTTGTTTGTTTGTTTGTTTGTTTGTTTTGTTTATCGAGACAGGGTTTCTCTGTATAGCTTTGTGCCTGTCCTGGATCTTGCTCTGTAGACTAGGCTGGCCTCAAACTCACAGAGATCCACCTGGCTCTGCTAGGATCAAAGGCATGCACCACTACTGCCCGGCAATCGTAAATGATTTTAATGACATTAAAAAAAGAGCATCTTAGGGCTGGCCACTGATTGCCTAGACTGAGTGAGCTTCCTTCCTGATTCAAGGAAAATGCAATCATTTTATACAGATAGTAAAACAGTCACTAAAGGCAACCAGGTACTGTCATGACTACAAGTCAGTCTCCATCCTACTTATTAATAAAAATGTCCTACAGTTCCTCTAAACCATCCTAAAATCAGTCCCTTTAAGGAAACATGAGGGTGTTGGTAATCCTCAAAACTGCCACCTTTAGGAACGAAGTAATTCCTTGACACACCAGGCATCACATCGCTTTACTTGAAGACTGACTGAATTCTAAGGCAGGAAGGCTTTTCAAAGCATCCACAGGGAAGTTTGGAGGCGCACAAACCAAATGGTACTTAAGCCACTGGCCTGGAAGTCAGCGCAGCTAGAGCTACAGGGTGCTAGCTTTCTAGAGGTACAGCTGCTCCAAACAGACACAAACTTAGCAACGCTTGAAATTTATAGACTAGTTATCCAGAGCCCTGGCAAAGGATACCAGGGCCCAAAGAAAGTTATTGCCTCCGCAACAGAAGCTTCCAAATCCACATTTCACTGCGGCTACTTTATGAGGAGCGGATCATAAAACCGTATTTAAACTCGACCTTCAACCCTCCAAATGTTTTACTTACAATTAAGTCAGAGCTTGGGGGTATTTATGGGCTAAAGGGTGGGCAGAGGGATAAATGTAGGGGTATGGTTTTCTTCAGGGACCTGAAGCTTCGAAACCGCTGGGGAAATCAGAGCCCTGTGATCTTCATTTGCTCATGCGGGAACAATTCCCAGCATTTTTCCAAGGCTCCTTTCCCTTCTGGCGAGATCACTGCTGTCACGTGAAGCAGAGGCTCATTATCCCTGGAGGTATTTTAACTCATTCCTTCCCTCTCCAGTATACGCACACACCAAGAAAGCCCTCTTCCAAAGCAGAGAACACTGACTAGGGCACGTCATGACTGAAGTTTTACTCACTTAAATATGTTTATTACTTGTGCGTTACATATCGATTTTGAGAAAGAGGGTAACACGTTTTCTTATTTGAGAACAATACTTGCATCCATCACAACGAAGGTCCTGACCTTGAAGTGTGTAAACCAGCTTATCTCCAACCTTGCCAGGGGTCCTGATACCTGTAGATGGCTGTGCATCAACTTTAAGTACTTCTAACTATGCGGTGAAGCATCTTAAGAACGCAGCAAGCCCCTATTTAGTGTTCTGTGACATCTCTGAGCCCAGCACTGGGGAAAAGAGCAAATAGCAGAATTCTAAGAGTAAGGCAGGGTTAGTCTTTAGCTAAGTAAAACATCCATCGTTTCTCTCTTCCCCAGAGGGACTAGTGACTAAGTTTTATCCCCACTCCCACCCCCACCATTGCCAGTTGCTGATGATTCTCTACGTCGAAGTACAGAAGCAAGAATCTGGAAAATCAATTATAGCCTCTGCCCTTCATATGGTATCCTTTAAAAATGTTTTGAAATGTCGTGACTGAGAACAAACACGAATAAAGAAATGGATAAGTGCTTTCTTTTTAGACACAACCTCAAGGTCCAGAAAAGGGGCATCCAGAAAAACTTCACTGTGTCTTTTAAAGAGTTACTGTAAAACATGGAGCCAAATACGGATTTTTAAAGGTACTGCGGAAGCCAGGAGAGGGACTCACTGGATTCACAAGCTAGCTAGAGTGTCAGTGGCTGAGGGCAAGATTGGGGTGGGTGGGGTAGGAGCCCAACACACCGACAGATAAGGAGTCAAGACTTCCTGCAGTTTCTGTTCCGTTTGGTTTTGGTTTCTTCTGCCTGTCTGTCTTCACTGAGTCACTCCTCGGTATCTCAAGATCTCCTAAAAAGACGAGTTTCTCCCCGTCTACAATTTTAACAACTGTTTCAAAACACGCCAAGCTTCCCCTTCTGCTTTCCTCCCTCTCTGGGGAAGGAAGGGAACCATCCAACCTGAAAAGGTGAAGACTTCATCCTTTCTGTTTCTGATGAAATCGCCCTGCAATTGGTGTGAAGTTCGGGGGAGGTGTGGCCTGCGCTGCACTTCACAAAACCCGGCCAGTATGACCACAGGGAAATTCTCCCCGATAGGCCAGGAATCCCCCGCAAGGGAATCTCTACACTCCAGGGGATATCCCCGGCAATCTCTGCGGCCACTTTTGGAAACCACTCAGAGCCAAGTATACGCACAAGTACAAGCCAGAAAGATGTTTCCCCATCAGTAAAAGAACAGATCCTGAGGGGAGAGGGGCGCGCATGTGGATGGGGGGGGGGGCGAGGACTTGGGTGGGGGGACCACAGAGTCCTCTCCAACCCTCCCGAGAGGACCTGCCTCTCCCGTGCGTCCTGGCGAATCCCGCATCATCCCATCCCGAGTACCCTCCCCACCCGAACCGCGCGGGTGCTTGAAACAGGACACCGGCTCCCGGAGGCGAGTGCTTGTCTAGGAGCCCAACTCCCGCGAGTGGCACCAGCTAGCCAGCGCTCCCCCAGGGGACCGGTGCGCAGGTGACCAAGCTGGCCCTGGCTCTGCGCTGCCCTGGAGGTGACTAGGCTAGCCCCGGCTCTGTGCCGCCCTGCAGCCCCGGCGGGGCGGCCGTACCTCGGATGTAGGCGCACTTGCTCTCGTCCAGCTGGCTGGAGGCCGAGCCGCCCATGGCCGCGGTGCCGCACCGGAGGCAGAGGACTGACACCGACTGGGTCTGCTGCTGCTCGCTGCTGAAGGTGGATGCGCCCGGGAACTGGCTCTGTAATTAAAGGGCCAACTTCCTCGAGAGGCGTCGCCGGCGCGGGCGCCTCCTCCAGGTCCGCGCCCTCGGAGGACATGTGGGCCGGCCCGGGGGTTGTCTTCCCGCCCTCGCTGAGCCCCGGGGGCTGTCCAAGGAGCTCCGGGGACTGGGAAAGGACTTACCTCCTGCTCTTAGCTGACTTTTCACCAGTTTGGGGACAGCCCAGGCACATCGTAGAGGGAGTGGAGAGAGCGGATCACTTCCAGGTGACTTTGTAAACGTCTGCCAGCTGGAAGCTTCATTCCCCTTCTCCCACAGGTGGAGGTCAAGAGCCCATTTGCCTTCCTGTTCTCCGGCCACCTGTCCAGGGTCTGTTTTCAAAGCCCTCCAGAAAATTCCCTTGCCCGGAAGTCTGGGAACCAGGGAGAGCCATACTTTCTTGCAACCAAGAAGTTGGACTGAGGCGGTGGGAAGTGGAGGGAAAGCCAGGCAGTGGATGGAGAAGCCTGGCAAACACCAAGGCTGGGTCTCACACGCACTAAGGTCTGCCTAAGACTCAGGATCTGTCCTTGAGGCTCTTGTCTTCTTACCTGATGGGAAATAGCTGGTGGGAAACCGACATTGGTCCCTTCCCCACAACTGCAATTCAGCTTGGCAGCCTCCCCCACAACTGCAATTCAGCTTGGCAGCCTCAGGCGAGATCAGCCTGGGCAGAGGGGTCGCCCTGATTTCTTTCTGTTCTTAGTGGTCAGATTGTTAGCCATTCCTTCCTACCAGCTTAACCAGGCCTGAAGAGAACTTTAATTAAGTGTTCTCTACACCTGTCTCTGAAGAGAATTCTCCTGAACTTTAACACAAATATTTCTTACAACCCGTCTCACACACACACACACACACACACACACACACACACACACACACACACAGAGTCTCTCATACCCTACATACATCCTGTCTAATTTCAAAATATGTCCAATGTCCCGCGAATTCTTTCATCTTCAAGACAACTCTTAAATGCTAGTATCTCGGGGCCAGAGAGCAGAGTGCTGGCCCAGCATTCCGGAAGCTCTGGGTTTGAGTTTCATCATTTCAAAAACGAGGTGTGGCGGTGCACACCTGTAACCCCAGCCTTTGGGAAGTAAATGCAGGAGGAGTGACCACATAGAGATTTGGGGGCTAGCTTAGGCTACATGGGGTGCCTTTAATCCCAGCACTCGGAAGTTAGAGGTAGGTGAAGACCAGCCTGGTTTACAGAGCGAGTTCCAGAACATTCAGGGGCCAGAGATACACAGAGAAATCATGTCTAGAGAAACCACTGCATTCATGTGGTGGCCAGACAGAGATGTGGACAAAACACCTATACACATAAAATAAAATCTTCCTAAAATATTCTGGCTGGCTCTGGAAGTATATTTTTCTGAGTAGTACTAATTCCTTCTAATACATAAATTGATCTAATTGCATCTCAGAAAGCAGACTTGGGTCTCCTGCCAAAAGCAGTTTTTGTTTGTCTCTACTAGTATAGTTTATCTGAGTTTGAGAAACAAGTAATTATTCTGATCCGTCACTCTTCTTTTTTGTGCGTTTCCAGGTGGAAAGGTTTGTATGGAGCAGAATCAACACGTTTGTGACCGGTCCGGTTCAGCTTTGTATCACTGATGGGCCAGGTGACCTGGTCAGATTGCTTAACTCCAGGGATAGTCTTCTCACTGTGAAAAAACACTGAGGATAATCGGCTTAGCAGAATTAGTGTTTATTTGGCCACAGTTCAGAGGTTCAGACCGAGGCCCGGTGGTCACATGCCTACCAGCTTATGTCAGCACAGTATATCATGAGGTGGTTTTGGTTTTTTCATTTGTTTATTTAGGGTTTTTCCTACCCCACCCCATCCCCACCTTGGTTTTTGGAGACAAGGCTTTGCTCTGTAACCCAGGCTGGCTTGGAACCTACAATCCTCCTGTCCTGCTTCCTTAGTGCTAAACATGCACCTGGCACATGGCTCAACATTACACATCATGAGAGGGACATGTAGCAGAGTTGCTGGTCAGCTCACAGCAGCTGGGAGCCAGGAGGGGGTGGGAATCTTGGTATCTCCTTCAAGAACACACTTCATGACCTAACTTCCCTTCACTAGACTAGTTCCTGAAGGTTCCGCCACCCTCCTATGGCACTTGGGATTGAGGACTAAGTTTTAATACATAGACATTTGGGGAACGTCCCGATGTGGGTTTCTTCATCAGTTATACGGAGATAGTTAGAGTTGCCTTATGGATTGTTGTCAAAATCAATTTTCATCAGGTCTTGAAGTACTCTGTGTACTCCAAGGAGCATAGTAAGAATACAGTGGGTGGATGCTGGGATTGTCATCAGCAGGAGCAAGACTAGAAATGAAAGACATTTCTAGAATTGTGTTGTTGTTGTTTGAGACAGGGTTTCTCTGTGTAGCCCTGGCTGTCCTGAAACTTGCTCTGTAGACCAGGCTGGCCTTGAACTCAGAGACCCACCTGCCTCTGCCCTCCGAGTGCTGAGATTAAAGGTGTGTGCCATCACCTCCTGGCCATTTCTTGAATTTTAATTGACCCTTCAGATCATTCATGCTACATCAAGAAAGAAACAGGTGTTTTCCCCCCTCCTGCCCCAAAACAAAGATATTTTTCTCTCAATGGTTTATAGGAAAAAAATAAGAAATTCATTACTTTAATCTTTTTTACACTTACGTATTTGCTTCAGGTGTGGAGTGTACACGGCACAGTGGTCATGTGGTGCGCAGAGAACAAGCTGCCAGAGTTAGTTTCCTCCTGATCTACCATGTGATCCCAGAAATGGAACTCAGGTCATCAGACTTGGCACCTCTACCCACTAAGCCATCTGGCCCCCAGAATTCTTTTTTTTTTTTTTAATTTCAGTCATAGTATTTAATATTTGCAAATCCTGTGTGAGCATCATTTTATTAATTACACTTTAAAACGAGTCTCCAAGCAATTCAATAACTTTATGAACCCAGTTCAATTTCCTATGACTCAAACCAGCTCGTTTAGAAATCTCCTGTGTAGGACTCTGTTCCTCCTGCGTCAACACATTTTGCTTTGAAGTTTTCTTAAGGCCATCTCTCCCAGACCAATATCACAACCCAATATCACATATTCGCTAAAATATAATCCATATACCATAAAATTCACTCATTCGGATCATCCTTTTAAAGAGGAAAAGATTTTAATAGGCATTTAATACTCTTTTCTGGAGGCAGATTTTTTTTTTTAGATTTATTTATTATGTATACAGTGTTCTGTTTGCATGTATCCTTGCAGGCCAGAAGAGGAAGCAAGATCTCATTATAGATGGTTGTGAGCCACCATATGGGTGCTGGGAATTGAACTCAGGACCTCTGGAAGAGCAGTCGGTGTTCTTAACCTCTGAGCCATCTCTCCAGCCCCTTTATTTTATTTATTTATTTATTTTGTTTGTTTGTTTTGTTTTTCGAGACAGGGTTTCTCTGTGTAACTTTGCGCCTTTCCTGGAACTCACTTGGTAGCCCAGGCTGGCCTGGAACTCACAGAGATCCGCCTGCCTCTGCCTCCCGAGTGCTGGGATTAAAGGCATGCGCCACCACCGCCCGGCTCTGGAGGCAGATTTTGAGACAGGTTTTCTCTGTGTGGCCCTGGCTGACCTAGAACTCTCTCTGTAGACCAGGCTGGCCTGGAACTCACAGAGATCCATCTGCCTCTGCTTCCTGAGTGCTGGGTTAAAGGCGGACTTCACCACTGCCTGACTTATAGTTAATACTCTTAACTCTTAAAGCTTGTATGCTTGGGGATTTCCTTGCATGTCACAGAACTATGAACCCCTCATTTTCTGTGTTCCCATTGAGACAGAGGGCTCTACCACTGGTATGTAATTGCTTACACAGCAGGGGAGGTCTCGGCTTTGTATTTCTGCAGTACCTTGCTGTTGGGTGAAATTGGAGCTGGAACTCTGTAGTTACATGATTTCTAAGTCTATGAGGTGCTACATCAGTGAGCGATCCGCTTTAATCCTCACAAACCCACTGAAGGAAGTACTATTTTTATTACCATTTTTGCAGACCAGGCCAACAACAGTAAGGAGTGTGTCTAAGGTCATCTGTGTTCTGGGTTATCTGATATCACAGTTTATCTTTTTAAACCCTGTGCTGATTCTTCTGTCCTAAATCTTGATTTTTGTCTGTTTTTGTGAGTAACCTAGGTTTTACTACAAAAAAAAAAAAAAAATTAAATGACTTAGTTAAATTTAAAGAAAGGATAAAGATCACCCACCCACAAGCCAGGATCAGTATCTTTGCAAAAACCAATTATCAGCTTGATGTAAATTCTTACAGATTTGTGGATTATGTGCAGCTATGATTTATAACTGTATATAAACTTACAGTGGTTATTTATCCAAGTGAAATAGTGTTTTAATATATAATTTTAAGTATTTTGGTCATAATTTTATCCAGAATATTTCTATTTAAATCAACATCTAGCTTCAGATCAGTGGTATTCCACTGTGTAAATGGAGTTTAATTCAGCCACTCACCAGCAATGTTTGTGTGTACCTGTTTCCCTATGCCTCCGGCCCATCACAGACTTTCTTAGTATTTATTATTATTTTATCAATGTTTTTTCAATATTTGTCAATTTGGGCATCCAAATAAGGATGATATCCTGTTGTCCAAGCTTGAAGTTCCTAGAGCCAAGGCTTGAACTTTTTTCCCATGGACTTTCTAGCCATCCATGTTCCTTATCGTGAATTTGGAAGGACTTGACTTGGTAGTACAAACATCAATCCCCTTGCGGTAGCATAGACTCTCTGTTAAGCACATCCTTCTTACTGCAGTGTATTTCCCCTGGCTTTCTGTTGAATTTTCTCCTTTGAACATTGGGGTCCCCTTAGGCAAACCAGTCACATGTTGTTTTTTTTTTCTTTTTTTCTCTCTTTTTTCTTTTAATTTCTCTAATTTATACTTCTACAGACTATCTGTTTATTTAGCTGGCTGGCATTTGCCTGGCTTCTGG